TAATGAAAAAGACCTTTATAAATCTAGAAATCGTTTGATGATTGATGATTTAGGCTATTACAATGATAACGAAAAAGGAGCAAAATTGACGGTTTTCTACAGGCTCACGAAAAAACTATTGACAATCGTAGAAATCATTTACTGATGATGAGTTTGGCTATAACCATGATAACAAAAAAAGGGTTGATGGGTTTCTTCAACGTAATGAAAGAACCCTTGATAAACGTAAAAATTATTTGTTCATTGATGAGTGCTGCTATAACCATGATAACAAAACAAAAGAGACAAAATTGATGGCTTTCTGCAATCCGATGAAAGAGAACTTGATAAACATAGAAATCATTTGCAGATTGATGAGTTTGACTATAATTATAATAACGAAAAATAATGAACAAAATTGACGGTTTTCTACAAGCTCATGAAAAAGAACTTGATAAACGTAGAAATTATTTGCTCATTGATGTGTTTGACTATAACCATGATAACAAAACAAGAGAACCAGAATTGACTGCTTTCTATAGTCTAATGAAAGAGATCTTGATAAACCTATAAATCGTTTGTTGATTAATGAGTTTGGCTATAACAATGATAACGAAAAAGGAGCAAAATTGACGGTTTTCTGCAGGCTCAGGAAAAAACTATTGACAAACGTAGAAATCATTTACTGATGATGAGTTTGGCTATAACCATGATAACAAAAAGAGAGGAGAAGATTTGATGGTTTTATGTAGTCTCATGAAAGAGCTCTTGATAAACGTAGAAATTATTTACTGATTGAAAAGTTTTGCTATAACCATTATAACGGAAAATGAGCAAAATTGATAAGTTTTTACAGAATGATGAAAGAGCTCTTGATAAACGTAGAAATCATTTGCTGCTTGATGAGATAGGCTATCACCATGATAACAAAAAAAAGAGTGAAACTAACGGTTTTTTTACAGCCTAATGAAGCACCTTTTGATAAACGTAGAAATTATTTTCTGATTTATGAGTTTATAACCATGATAAAAAAACAAGGAGCAAAAATGAAGGTTTTAAGCAGCCTCATGAAAAAGCTCTTGATAAACGTAGAAATCATTTGTTGATGGTGAGTTTGGCTATAACCTGGATAACAGAAAAAAAAAAAGAGCAAAATTGAGGGTTTTCTCCTATTTGATGAAAGAGCTCTTGATAAATGTATAAATTATTTGCTAATTGAAAAGTTTTGCTATAACCATTATAACGGAAAATAGGTAAAATTGACAGTTTTCTGCAACTTTGTAAAAATACCCTTGATAACCATAAATATCATTTGCTGATTGATGAGTTTGGCTATAACCATGATTAAAAAATAAAAAGTTGATGGGTTTCTGCAACTTAATGAAAGAGCCCTTGATAAACGTAAAAATTATTTGCTCATTGATGATGGTGGCTATAACCATGATAACAAAACAAGATTGACCGCTTTCTGCAATCCGATGAAAGAGAAATTGATAAACATAGAAATCATTTGCAGATTGATTAGCTTGACTATAACTATAATAACGAAAAATAATGAACAAAATTGACGGTTTTCTGCAAGCTCATGAAAAAGAACTTGATAAACGTAGAAATTATTTGCTCATTGATGTGTTTGGCTATAATCATAAAAACAAAACAAGAGAACCAAAATTGACGGCTTTCTACAGTCTAATGAAAGAGATCTTTATAAACCTAGAAATCGTTTGATGATTGATGAGCTTGGCTATAACAATGATAACGAAAAAGGAACAAAATTGACGGTTATCTACAAGCTCACGAAAAAACTATTGACAAACGTAGAAATCTTTTTATATGCGTTCTACAATGATACCTTTTACCTCTGATCCATGTGATGGTGGTTATTTTCGTATTGCGTCTCTTAACCCTAACATGGGTGAGTGGTCTGTCTCGGTGAAGATTTTGAATTGTTGGTCTGTTTCGCGTGGCACGGGTAGAGAGCTCAATATGATTTTGGGTGACGAGCATGTTAGTTTTTTGATAACTTACCTTCTATACATGTTTTCGATATTAAATTGAATTGGTTTTGTCTTTAACGTTTTATTTGCAGTTCACCCAAATCCAAGCCGTTGTTCGTGATGAATTAATTGATAATTATCTTTCAAGATTGATAATCGATGAGTGGGTGAGCATTAAAAATTTTGATGTATCACGGGTTAACAGCATATTGAGACCAGTACCGCATAGATTCAAGATTGTGTTTCGTTCGGACACTTTAGTGCAAAGTATTAATATGTGCTCCAGTAGAACCTATTTCAATCTAACTGAGTTTGTGAGTATATTGAGTGGTATTGTTAATCCGAATATTTGCGTTGGTAAGCCTAATTTGTAAATTTATTTGTGCTTTTGGAGTTTATTTGCGGTTCATGTTCTGACTGTATTATTCATGTGTGTGTTTCATAGATGTTGTTGGCAAAATTGTCAACGTGAGAGAGTTGGTTTTTGTTCCTTCCGTGGAACATTCTCAAGGAGGATATTTTGAGCTGTACTTTGATTTACGTGATACTGAGTAAGTCACTATTCTTTTAAAGATTTAAACCAGAATATAAAGTCTTATGACTTCTTCAAATCTTAAAATTAGGTGTATCCATCTAGAGTGTCGTTTAACGGGTGACCTTGCAGTCGAGTTCTATGACTTATGGAAGCATCGTTCACGTAACACAGTGATATGTATTATCAAGTTTGTGAAATTAGAGCTATCACAGGAACATAGGTGGAGATGTATCAATGTTACCGGAAGTACGAGGATTATGTTGAATCCGGATCTCAGTATTACAGACGAGATGCTTTGTTGGTAAGTATTTTTTTTTCCGTTTACAATCAAAACTCTAAAGTTGGCGACTGGACATTCACTGTTTATGGTGTTCTAAATCGGATGTCAGGAATCCTGAAAATGACCAAGTACCGATCATCACACGGAAGGAGAATGCCATGGAGTGATGATGTTCGTTGATTTCTTATTTTGTTGGTGAATGATTTTAAAAGATGATTTATTATTATTTTTTTAGCATTTATAATATTATTGAATTTTTTAAATTTTATCATTTTCCATAATTTTACCACACTAAATCCTAAACAATTTACCATATTTTTCTTACACTACCAAGTAACACATAAACAATCCCTTATTTCACATGATTTTACCATTCATACAACATTCTTCCCGCGCATGTGCGCGGGCAATCACCTAGTTTTACTAATTATGGAGTCCTAAAAAATAAAAAAATCCTCTCAAAATGGGCCTCGAAAATTTGAGGCCCAATACAAATGTTTTAGAAAAATCTGTCAAGGACCGGGCATGTACGCCATTTATGGCAACATGTTTCACTAGATTTGTGAAGAGGTAAATGGGTTCTTTGTTGTCTACTTGTCATAGTGGATAACATGTTTATTGGATGATTAATACCAAATTTGGTTAGTAGAGAACATACTCATTTGACTTCAGATGTTGTGTTTGCTAATGAACAATATTCTACTTCAATTGATGATCGAATAACATCTTCATTTTTCTCTGATAACCACGATATGTCGATATGACTTATTTCTCAAAATATTCAATGTTCGCATTTGTGATTTGTGAAGACAAACTTGTGAAAATCCATGGCAAAAATTACATTTGTTATTATTAATTATTTTATTTTATATTGACGTTGAAAACTTTACTTTCTATTAGTTTACAAACCTAATTTGCCTTGGAAGTACTTTTCAAAAAAATATATTGTACATTTAAAAAAAACTCTAAAATTTCAGTAATCATATGACTACTGTTATGTTAAGAAAAAAATTTGAATACTTTACTTTCTATTAATTTACCAAAATTGGAAATTGTTCTTGGGCCTTAAACTTGGTGTTATGGGCTAGAAGTGAGGCCTAATGTGCATGTTTTTCTATTTTATATACTAGTCTAGAAAACCCCACATTTTCATCCAAAATTAAAATTGTATGAAATTTTATGAATAAAACAAATTTTGATTCACAAATTAAACTATTTCAAATATTAACTAATTCAAATTTTTAACTCAAATGTTTTATTTTTACACTATATTATTATTAGATATTCACCTTTTTAAACTATAACAATTATTAAATATTTGTAATAATACTATATGTCAACAAGTATAGAACATATCCGCTCCTAGTTATTGATTTAAAGTCACCAACTAATAATTAATTTTCTAAATAATAGTTTTTTAGTTTCTATCTTAATTGTAAATGTTGACTAAATCTCTCCATCTTCATCTTCATCTTCAAAAATATACTATAATAATATGATAATATTGAGTTATTGTTAGTGAGAAGTTATAAAAAGAGTTGTGATGAAGTCCATCATTATTATGCTATTTACGTATGATTAAGAATACGTTTTGTAATATAGATTTTTGGGAAATTGTTAAAAATACCCCTTTTGGTGTGCCCATTTTCAAAAATGCCATTTTAGATGTCCATTTTCAAAAATGCCCTTTTTTAAATCTGAAATTTTTATAAAATTTTATTAGGTTTATAAGGTACTTATGGATTGTAACTACTACTTGAAGACTCGATCCAAGTATTTATAAGGTTTTATAAGGTGTTTTTAAAGGTTTTACAAGTTATTTTAAAGGATTTTTAAGGTTTTTCAAAGGTTTTACAAGATATTTTAAAGGTTTTTAAAGGTATTTAAAATGCATTTATAAGGTATTTATAAAGTATTTATAAGATTTTAGATACATAGAAATGTAGTTTGTGTATGTTTTAATAATATTACATACATATTTGGGTAAATCTTATATGTTTAAGAGCATTTTTTATAAAGTTTTTAAAAAGGGGTATTTTTGAAAAGTGGCATTGAAAAAGTGGCATTTTTGCAAAAGCCCCTAGATTTTTTGTTTAAATGACTTCTTGCAATAAATAGTTTTCTTATTTCATGGTATTTATTTGTAAAAAAGAGATAAAAATTACGTCCAATAACTTAGAGAAAATAAATTCAACGCTAGAATCGTCAATTTAGAGAGAGAGATTATATAAGTTTGTATTACTTTTGGCAACAACATTTCACAGGACATGGAATACAAGCAGAACCACAATGTCCACCATTTTTAAATCCAGCTCTAATACAGTAGTTATTACATTCATCACTTCCGTAACACCTAGTATTACAGTTATCGAATGAGAAATCTTCGATCTCTGCATCTACACAAGTCCACATATATATATATTAAACATAACCGATATACAAACATGTTTAAATCTTATATAACCTTTCAATAAATTAAAGATAGTTATATAACATGTCCAAATAATAGAATTTTAACAAAACTTTAAAATGCATGCCTGTATATATCATAGAAACAAAAACATAGTCATCACGTATTCTACATATTTAAATATAGCTTTTGAAATGATTACTACTAATTTTTATAATAACTAAATCAAACCTTAAATATACCTGAAGCCAAAACGTTGTGGTTAGACAACGACACTGCAAGTATTATTACAAGGAAACAAGTCACCAAAGTTTTCGTACCACTCATAGCAATTATTTCAATGAACTGTATTGAGGTATTCAAATGTTTTTATTTTTTCGGATCTTAATGATTGGCTCTATTTATATAGTTTGGTCTTCAATTTTTTTTATCATGATTAATTGATGATCCACTTTTGTTTGTCAATTTTTTTTTTTTTTTTTTTGGCAAAAATTTATAAAATGTAGATATTTTCAGTTAATGATCATAAATGAGGACTTAAAATTTTAAAAAGCGTCTTACACTTGTGAATATGGTTAAAGACAAATTATTATATATATTATCATTATGATCAATTAATATCTTAAGGTAAATGCAAGGTTTAATTTTATAATTCAATACTGAAATTTTTTGTTTATAATTAGGTATATGGTATAAAATTTATCTGATTTCAAAATTGATATCAAAAAAGAAATGAAAATGAAAATTACATACTCACTATAAAATCATTAATTTATTTATTTTTTTGGTTAAAGGTAAAATCATTAAATTTTTGTGCTAGAGGAGTTCGACCCAAAAAACCAATCCTATTTGATCTTAACCAAAACAAAATATTCATTCAAAAAAACTGAACCATACCACCGCCACAATAGAAGCCCTTTTTACTCATATCCCCCTAGTCTAGTTATTAAGTCTTTCGTACACTTAAATATATATTTGAACGATAATTATGTGATTCATCAACATTTCCAAAGAAAAAAATGCTTATCGACATAAACAAAATGCAATATATATGCACAACATTTAAATTCATAGATACATTTACTTTCTGTGACAATGCACGGCATCCTCAAATCTAAAATAATTGTTTGTTTGCATGCATGAAAATTCATTTGTCCATTTAAATTGGAAAGATCTGGAATCATGTACAATATATTACTCGAAGACAACAACGGTAACGATTGCGCGACAAGTCGATTGCGTTGAAACATAAAGGATCGATGACAAAGGGAAATTGACGATTAACTATGATAGACACCATTCAAACAATATTAGAGAGAAATAAATAAAACCCGTAGAAATCAAGAGCAATGAAAGAAAACAAAAATAAATCTAGAAACCTTTGTAAGTGAATTTCGAATATATAACTTTGAATATATGTCGTCGCTCTACTTGTTCAATATTAGAAGAGGGATCAGGAAAAAAAACTAAGAGAAGACCAAAGAGTGAGGGATTACCTAAAAAAGAAGATCGAAGAGAGTACAAAATAATGATAGTAATGGTGTGGCTTCTTATTGAATATAAGCGGATATCATCAAAACAAAGACTAGTGGCGAGATCAGCAAGGTGAAGTAAGAGGATAACTGAAAATTGGAGTTATTCTCTGAAATTGTGTAAAAATGGAGAAGACAAATTACAACATGTAATTAAAAGGTCTAAGAGAGAAACATTGTAGTCAAAATTTCATAAACAATTATATTTTGACACCACACTTGATTAAAGCAATGCCAAAATCAACATCATCAGTTTCAGTTCAACATCTAATCGAACATTTTAAAAAAATATAGATATAAATCTTACACATTGAGAAGCAAAAGAAAGAGAAGCGACTATTTGGGGAAGAAAGAAAGCAAAGAGAAGTGCATTTTCCTTTACTGAAATTTAACCAGTTTGACTCAAAACTTAGCAAAAATAACTAGAATAACTCTCAATCCAAATGGATAACTAGACTAACCCAAATTTTATGTTAAAAAACTATTTAACTTTTCATTATACCATTTCTTTAAAAAAAAAAACCAAATTCGTTTATTTTTTTATTTTATTTTTGAAAGTAACCAAAATTTGTTTTTAATTAAATAAACTGAATAAATAAAAATAACAAATTTAAGAAACAAAAACCAACAAATCGCGATTTAGGTTTTAGTTTCTTAATTTTTTTCATTCTCACAGTTTCCCAGCCATGCCTCTTCTTCTTCTTCGCTTTTTCTACTAAACCCTAGCCATCTCTCTTTGAATAGGCCGCTCCCACAAACGACGACGACGATTTCGATTGGGTTAATTTAAGTGATGTTTGGTTTTCGCAGCCGTTGGGGGACATCGTTTTTGACGATTTCTCTTATCCAGTGGTGACTATTCTTCTTCTCCGGCCACACAAACGGCGGCGAGGATTCTGCTTTTCTCGATTTCATAACAGTTTCTTCTTGGTAACTACCAAACATAATTTTGTCGTGATGAAATCCGACTTCAAATAAAAATTATAAATCTGTCATGATAAAATAAAAATCTGTCATAACACTAAAAATCTGTTGTCACTAAATAGGTCATTCCAGTAATTTATTTTTAATTCAATAAATCTGCTATGAAACACCAGATTTTTGTAAATTAAACATAAATCTGCCATCACATAAAAAAAATATGTCATAACGTTAAACATATCGGTTGCGACTATATGTTATTCTAGCAATTTTTATTTTTTTTCAACAAATCTGCTATAACATTCCAGATATTTTGTTAACATTAAAAAATCTGTCATAACGTAAAACAAATCTGTCAACACTAAAAAGTAAAACTAGTAATTATTTTTTCATTAACAAATCTGCTGTATTATGACAGATTTTTTCCCAAAAATATAAGTCTGACGCCACTAGAAACAAAAATATGCTACACATTGTAATAAAACTGTCAAAATTACGAAAGTCTGAGGCATTATCATAAAATAAGTGTGACAAAGAAAAAAAATCTGCTACAAGTTAAATATCTGTTGTAACCATTTTCAAATAAGTCTGTGGGAGGAAAAAAAACTGTTACAGAAAATCTGTCGTAGACCATTAAGTCTGTCGTGAAAAATAAATCTGTCACAACGACGTCCGCAGACTTTTCACGGCAGATTTGTTTTTTCGAAAAAATTTCACCTAGGTTTCCAAAAAAATCAAGGGTAATATTGACTTTTTTTTTCTAACAAAGAGACAAATGGTATTTTGGTCATGAAAATAACTAGATTGACCCATATATTTTATGAGTTATTCTAGTAATTAAACCTTATTTCTAAGTCAAACTAGTTTTTTTCCCTTCCATTTATTTGATAAATTAATGACATCAGCAAAAATTTAATCATTTAGATGAGAAAACAAAACAGTCTCATCCGTTGGATTAAAAGAATGACATCAACAACACAAAAAATTGAGTTTGTTATTATATATAGATTTTATTTTTTTGAACCTAATTTACCTTGAATATTTTTCAAAAGACTATTGTACATCAAAAAAACTAAATTTTCAGTAAACATATGAATACTTTTATGGTAAGAAAAAGATTTGAATACTTTACTTTCTATTAATTGACCAAATTATTTTACTATTTATTATTTTGCCAACAATGTATATTCAATCTTTTTCTGTTTCATAATTTTCCAAAATATTCACATTCAAAATTCTTAAATCTTACATACAACAAATCATCTCATTCATTGACTTAAAAATTCATCTAAAATCACCAACTTATTTTTTTATTAATTAAAAGAATTTTTTTTTTTTATCGGATGTCCCCGAAGGGACTAATTAAAGAATTTATTATTGTCATGTTTTTCTTTTCTTTTTTAACGATAAAAGAAGTAAAACAATCGCAGCATTGGGGAATCTCCATCCACCAATAATATAATTTCCTAATTTTGTCTTTTAAAACCTTTAGACAGATGACAAAAAAAAAAAAAAAAAAAAAAAAAAAAAAAAACCTTTAGACAAGAACAGATATTCTCAACCTTCCCACATTTCCCCAATCATCCAACCACGCGCCGCCTCTAATCTCTCACGCGCCGCGGTCCAATCTCAAATCCTCTATCAATCTCCTCCTCTCCATCTCCTCCAATCAAAAGGGGTCTAATTTATGAATTAGAATTCATCATGGGAGGTGTAACATCATCGATCGCTGCAAAATTCGCTTTCTTTCCACCAACGCCACCGTCTTACGAGGTTATAGCCGACGATAGCTGCGGCGGACGTTTATACATACCGGAGATTCCTCGTCGTGATGATGTTGATATCTTAAAGCTTCGTACTCGTTATGGTAACGAGATCGTAGCTGTTTATGTGAAACATTCAAAAGCTAATGGCACGCTTTTGTATTCTCATGGTAACGCTGCTGATTTGGGTCAAATGTTTGAGCTTTTCGTTGAGCTTAGCAATCGCCTTCGCGTCAATCTTATGGGGTAAAGGATTTATCTGATTGAATTTGGGAAAAATTTGTGCTTTATAGCTTCAAAGTTGGTACATTTTTTTATAAAGATTAGTACTTTTTCTTTGCTTTGTGAAGATTAGTGCTTTGTAGCTTCAAAGTTGAGACATTTTCATTGAGAAGCTAGGACTTTTTTGTGTGTGTATGATTTGCTCAAAACTAGGATCTGTTGAGACATTGTTATAGATATGTAATGAATTGGTTTTGTGCTCTTATTGTAATATGTTAATAGAAGAATCAATCCATGTAAAATCAGTGTGTTATAGTTTCAAATTTGGGTCTTGATTCATTTTCATTTAAAGGTTTATACTTTTCTTGATATCTAATGTGTTCATTGGTTTTTCTTTCTTAGGTATGATTACTCTGGTTATGGTCAGTCTACTGGACAGGTATAGTTCTGAGATTACTACTCTGTGTTATGAAATATGAGCTTTCGTAGACTTTTCCATGGATTGTTTCTCATTGGTATAGAGTTGGTTTATGAATCAGGCAAGCGAGTGTAATACATATGCTGATATAGAGGCGTCGTATAAGTGCCTTAAGGAAAAGTATGGGGTAAAAGACGATCAACTGATATTATATGGTCAATCTGTCGGTAGTGGACCTACGGTTGATCTAGCTTCGCGCACACCTAACTTGAGAGGTGTGGTTTTACAGTGCCCGATTCTCTCTGGGATGAGGGTTTTGTATCCGGTGAAATGTACATATTGGTTTGATATTTACAAGGTGATTTAGGAGACATTTAATTTTGCTTCTGGTTACATGTATACCTGCTGCTCACCTGCGCAATTCTATGTTTTGCAGAATATTGACAAAATCGGCGCAGTTACCTGTCCTGTATTAGTAATCCATGTAAGTAACTTCTTGCATTGCTTTGGCTTTATTTTGCTTCTTTTTCATTATGAGTGTAATCGTTATAAGACAGGTCACTGAACTCTCATGTTGGTCTTTTAGGGAACTGCGGATGAAGTAGTTGATTGGTCTCACGGAAAACGGCTCTGGGAACTAAGCAAAGAGAAGTATGAACCTTTGTGGATAAGTGGAGGTGGACACTGCGACCTTGAACTCTATCCAGATTTCATCAGACATCTGAAGAAATTTGTTGTATCACTTGGCAACAAACAAGCAGAGCAAGCTGCCACAGAGCGAGATAGCTGATATGTTTGAAACGGGTTACTTTCAGGAGTCTACACAGTTGGCTGGAGAATTCAGAAGAAAGTAATAAGCCTGAGAAATTCAAGATGAGTGTTGATAGGTTTAGAAATCAAAAGATAAAAAAAGGTCTTGTCTGGTGACACAATGGGTCAATCTGGAATGTATACAGTATATTACATTTCGTGAATAAATGTATTTTTCTGCTTTCATGTTTTAGTAGGTTCCAATGAGGTTACTTTCTTAACATTCATGGATCATACTTTTGTGTAATCCGAAATATCCTCTGAAAGCATAGAAGATTCTTGAAGAGGCTATGCGGGGAGAAACAGGCCTAGGAGGTAGGCCTGGGAGTTCGGATTAAACCGAACAAACCGACCCGATTAAACCGATAATTTTGGTTATCGGCGTAAACCGAAGAAAGAAATCAAACCGTTCGGCGAAATTAATTTGGTGAATCGGAAGTCGGTTCGGGTCGGTTCGGTTATCGGGCCGATCGGTTTAGTAGTTTTAGGCAGCCCTATATAAGTCTAAACCTAAGTCATTAACCCTAATTTGTCACTTATCTTCTTCTTCGTCTCCGCCTCCTGCGATTCTCTCGAGCTCGTCTCTTTCTCAGTTTCTCTTCTTCTTCTTCTTCTTCTTGTTCTTCTTCGTCTGCAACACATCTCGTCTCTTCTCCTTCATCACTTCTTCTTCATCATCCCAAATCCGCAACCCTTTTTCACATAAACTCAACCTAGAATTTCGAAGAGGTCAGTTCTTTGCTTCTTTCGATCTTCTTCGTTTGATTCTGCTTCCGACTGGTTAAATTTCTGGATGAATAACTGTGTCCAGAACTCTTAACATTATGCAAATCTTTGATTTGTAGAATTTAGGGTTTTGGACTCCAGTTTTCATCCAGAAATTTATGTTTCGGTGTGTGTAATTTGTTTATGGTCTCTGAGTGGTTTTAAATTAAGACTTGCATGTATATAGGTTAGATTTTAAAATTAGGGTTTCGTTTTTTCTCCTATTGTGGTCCTGTTCCTTGTGTGTTCTTGTGTGGTCCTTGTGTGATCCTTTTATTGTCCTTTTGTTGAAGCTAATGGATGTTTGTGTATAATTTTTAGATGACTGAAGAGCAAAACGAGAGTGAACCTCCACTTAATCCTCAGAAGACAGGAGAGACAGAAACTGTAACTGGGAATAAACGACCACGGCCTGCTTCTGGTGCTGATAAGCCAACTAAACCAAGGAAGAAGTATGCAAAACGAGCTCCGGTTTGGGAGCATTTTATTCAAAGAGAAGAAGATCTCAGTAAGAGCTACTGTAAGTACTGTAAAGCTGAGATTGCTTGTGATACAAAACAGTTGGAACTAGTCCGATGATAGGTCACATAAATAGATGCAAGCAGTACAAGGATTGGGTAGGAAGTGAGAACCAGAAGATTCTAAGTAGTGATAACAATGGAAATATGAAGCTGGTGAAGTACGATCCGGTCATGTTTAGGAGATCAGTTAATGAGATGGTAGTAGTCAGTGAGTTGCCATTCTCATTTGTAGAATCTGAGGGTTGGAAGCGGTTCTGTAGCAATGTCTTGCCTATGTACAAGACATTTTCTAGAAAGACATGCAGTACAGACATTGTTGCTATGTATTTGGAAGAGAAGGCAGCTTTGAAGCAGTTGTTTAGTGTTGAGAAACAAAGGGTTTCTCTGACAACAGATATATGGACTTGTCCTACAACTTCCTGCAACTACATGGTGATCACAGGTCATTGGATTAGCACAGAGTGGGAATTACAGAAGAGAATCCTTAGTTTTAAGGTGATCACAGACCATAAAGGAGACACCATTGCAGCCCAGTTGATGGATTGTTTGGATGATTGGGGAATTGAGAAGGTCTATGCTGTTACAGTTGATAATGCAAGGAACAATGACAAAGCTTTGGAGGTTTTTAAGAATCAGTTAAGGATGAGAGGAGTAGACTCATTAGTGAAAGATGGTGAATTTTTACACATGCGTTGCTGTGCACATATCCTCAATCTGATTGTTGGACATGGTTTGGAGAAGGCTAATGCTCATATTGTTGCCATTAGGAATGCTGTTAAGTATGTCCGGTCTTCCTTCAGCAGGCTGAAGACTTTTGCATTGAAGTGTGAGACAGGTAAGTTGGCTAGAGGCAGCTTGCCTTTAGATGTCAGCACACGCTGGAACCCTACATATCTGATGTTGTCTTCCGCTTTGAAGTTGAGGGTGGCCTTTGAGAAGATGGAGGCTGAGGACAAGTTGTACTGTGATTATTTCTTGGAAGAGGAGGATAAGATTAAGAGAGTTAGACCACCAACTTCTATTGACTGGGAGAAGGTTGCAAGGTTAGTCAAATTTCTGAAAGTCTTTTACAAGTGTACTTTGATATTCTCTGCTTCCAAGACTGTGACTTCATGTTTGTGTTACTCTGAAATTGTGGACATTGAGAGGAGTCTGATCACTAAGTGTAGCAGTTCTGATGAGGAGACCAAAAAGCAAGCTAATAACATGAGGGATAAGTTTGACAAGTATTGGGATGGTTTGAGTAACATGAATCCTCTAGTGATTGTGGCCAGTGTCTTTGATCCTCGGAACAAGATGAAGTTTGCTTCCCTTTGCTTTGACCAGCTATATGGTAAGGATACCATAGAGAGTAGGAAACTGCATGCTTCAGTTTCAAGTGTAATGGAAACACTGTATGATCATTACAGTTTCAAGCCCACCAACTCAGAAAACAATGAAGATACTGAAGATCAGACAGAGCAAACAGACTCTCAGCCGCAGCCTTGCACCTTTGAGCTATCAGATGATGAAGATGATTGTGAGGGGATGCTGTCAATATATGATAAGGTGGTTGGATTGAAGATTAATGAAGTTAGCTACAATGAGTTAAAGGTGTATCTCACAGAAAAACCAGAGCCGAGAGTTGAAAATACATTGGGGATGCCTTATGATGTTCTCAGTTGGTGGAGACGTAATTGCTCTAAGTTCATTGTCTTGTCAGAATTTGCTAGAGATGTTCTAGCAATTCAAGCTTCATCAGTTGCTTCAGAGTCTGCTTTTAGTACAACTGGCAGGGTGTTGGATCCTTATAGGAGTTCTCTGACTCCTTACATGGTAGAGGTTTTGCTATGCACACAACAATGGTTAAAGTGTACCTATAAAAAAGAGGATGCAGTAGCAAACTTGGCCCAAATGTTACAAGAATTTGAATTCTTTGAGTCTCTTGGTAAGTTTAACTATTCTCATTGACAGTTTAAATCCTTTCATACTCTTTATCATTATAAGTCTGTAACTAATCTCTTGTTTTCTTTTGTAGATGCTCGGAATTCAGCGGTTGCTATTACATGATTTTTCATAGTATGGCAGGTATGATTGTGGTTCTATTGTTGATTAAGTAGTTCAGGTTTTTGAGGACATTGTTAATTCTTTGTTATGCTTTTCACAGATAGGTAGGTGCTGCGCTTTTGTCCTTTTTGATGCGGAAAAACAGCCTTTTTAATGTACTAACTGTGAAGCTGCTCTTTTGGTGCGGATTAGCATTTTTTGTGAATCTACAACTGGTAAGCTAACCACTAAATCATACTTGATATTTGTATGGTTCTATATTGGTTTCTTGATGTAATGCTAGCTTAAACTTGATAATATGCTAGCTTATCAGCTTCATTAATAGTTTGTAATGGTCTATACTGGTCTGTACTTGTAGCTTTAACTCACAAACACAGCTTTAAGCTACCAGTACAGCTTTATGTATGGTTTTGTAATGGTTTTTGCTTTTGGATGTCTTTACCTAGTAGTTACACTAGTTTTTCCTTTGAAAAATGTCTATTTCGGGTTAGATAAACCGAATTGGTCATAGGATTCAATTTTCTCGGACCCAAATTAAAATCAGCTAACCGACCCGAAAAAACCGACTACCGACCGAACCGAACCGAATTTAATTTCGGATTAATTCGGCGAAAATTTCAAGAAACCGAATTTTCAGAAAACCGAACAAACCGACCCAAATAACCCAAAAATTCCGAACTCCCAGGCCTACTAGGAGGAGACTGTAAAGCTGACCAAGATTATTTAGGAGACTGGAAAAGTCAATAACTTAATCAGTCAAAGACTTTAGAAATTTGGATGTTTGAACAAGAAAATTGAGAATTGAGAGATTAACTCTAAACGCTAAATCATAGAGGCTTAAATATAGGATTAAAGTTTCAAGCTTTTTCATTTGGGTACTAAGACACTATCTTTCTCTTATTGTTGTTACAGTGTGATGTTTATTTTTGGACAAGAACATTTAGCTTCAAGTTTCTGAATTCAAAAAGTCTTTTGTTTGTTGCTTGAGAGGGAACTAGGCATGAAGTAGTGAATTGCTCCCATGAAAAGGCCTGATAGTGACAAAAATACAATGGCTCAAACATTTACAAAACAGGTTATATTTGAAAATGAAACTCAAAATTATTGATCTCATCTTTCCTTGGCTTGTCATGCCAGACAAAGCTGTAAAAATAAATAAGTGTAGCGGCTGTTTTTTTTTTGCTTTAATAGGTTCCAAGGAGGTTTCTTTCTTTATGCGACATTTATGGAACATACTTCTGTGTATGCCGAGCTATCCTCTGAAAAGGTAGAAGATTCTTGAAGATTTGATGTGGGGATTTGTTGGAAAACAGGCCTAGGAGGGACTTCAAGAGCATCCAGGTTCCCTTCCATCATCTCTACGACTCTATTCATCGTTGGGCGATCTGATGGCCAAGGCTGAATACACCACAAACCTACTATCGTCATCTTCTTTGCTATCTCATCTTCTTCGCTGCTGATTCCATTCTCGATACGCTTTCCTTTGTCTGCCTTCTCAAGATCCCTATATATCCATTCAGGAAAGTACATTGAGCTTGTGCTAGATGCAGTATCGCCAGTTGATGATTTGTTCCTAGCTCCTATTATCTCGAGAACCAACATTCCATAGCTATACACATCTGACTTGTAGGAGACGCTGCCATAAACTCTTGAAAACACTTCGGGTGCAATGTACCCTATGGTTCCTCTTGTGTGTAGAAGGGACAATAAGCTTTCTTTCCTTTCGCAGAGTTTAGCAAGACCAAAGTCTGAAACTTTCGGGGAAAGATTGTTATCTAAGAGTACATTCTGTGGTTTTATGTCGAAATGTACAATTCTTGTTGTGCAGCCATGATGTAAGTACTCTAGACCACGAGCAACGCCTAGCGCAATCCCATATAGTTCCCTCCAGTCTATATTTGACGACTTCTTGCTTGAGAGGAATTTATCAAGAGACCCATTTTCCATAAATTCATATATAATTGCTCTCTTGTAACCTTCATAGCAGAACCCTAACAGGGTAACGATGTTGACATGAGAAGTTTGGCTCATGCTTGCAACTTCATTGATGAAGTCTTCACCACTATTACCCATCAAGTCTTTCAAGACCTTCACTGCAACCATACGACCATCAGAAAATATTCCTCTATAGACAGTTCCAAATCCTCCTCTCCCGACTACTTCCGCGAATGAATTTGTAATCCTCCTCAGTTCTTCGTAACTATAATGCTTCAGTGGAATAAGTGCTAGGAGTTTTGGGTTTGGAATGTTCTGTTGACCCAGATCATTTGATTTCTTTATATTTCCGTAGATTAAGACCACGAACAGAATCAGAAGAAGAACTACTGGTAGGAATACCCAGAAGCTAATACGAGGTTTACCATCCTCTCTCCCTAAAGATTATGCAGAAAAATGGTGTGGAAAAAGGAAAACTATTAGTAAAACAAAGAGTATGAGATGAGGCAAATTAATGAGTCAACAGATCCATAAAAATGAATAGTTTTAGGCTTATTAAAAACCACAACTTCTGTATAAGATGTATAAGACGCTTACCATCATAAGACCCTGGAGACAGTGGAGCATAATCAACTTCTACATCAAAGTCGGGAATAGCAATGGGGCCTAAGGCAAGATGGAAAATAAATACTAAATACCGTATTCATGTAGTGTAGTTTGATTCTTACCAAAAAAATGTAGTGTAGTTTGATATCATTATATTATTTAAATCGACACATCATTTGTCAAAAAAAAAAAAAGAATTGGGGGTCAAGAACAATATTTATATTTATATGTATTTTAAATAACACAAAAGACCTTCAAAAATAAATAACAATACTTTATATAAATTTTTAGAAAACGAATGTATCTTTCAAAAAGTTAAACAAATATTAGAAAAGAATAATGAAATAGATGTTATAAAATGATAAAAGTATTAAAAACAGAAAAACTTTTTCCTTTTTTTCTAACAAGGAAGTTTGGGGACTTTATCCTATACTCCCACTGTTTCACAAAGAGTGTCATTTTAGAGTTTTGCACACAGATTAAGAAAACATTAAATTTTTTATTTTTTCTAAACAAAAACATCATTAACTATATACCTAAACATAATCTGCCCAATAGTAAAACAATCTGTAGAATACTAATAGTCATAAAACATAAAAAATCATTAAATTTTGCATTGAAAACCTAAAACGACACTCTTTGTGAAACAAAAATAAAACCTTAAAACGACACTCTTTATGAAACGGAGGGAGTATATAGTTTCTTTTGCACAAGACCAACCATTGGTAAACGTTAATAATATTAATACTATTAAAGAGTAAACAATCCCTTCCCAAAATGGAGGAGATTCGACCCTAGAAACAAGGACTCAACCTCCCTCCCAAGGAAATCACTGAAACCAAGTGAGCTATGATTATCTCCACTTGGTAAAAAAAATTAGCAGCGGTCATTTCATAATTTTGCTCATAAGTACTAAAGGATTTGTAAAGTTTACCGGGTGAAGGTTCCCCTACGGGTGGATGCAAGTCCGGCTCAATAAAATTGAGATCCCTGAGCTGGAAAAAAGAAAAAGGTCCTTTTTTCTTATGTTTTTTGGAGAAAAAAAATGAATGGACCCTCTCTTGTAACACCTCCAACACATGTCTAGAGCCAGGGCTGGGTGGATGGAGTGAGTTGCATGCTGATGATGAGGCTTCTTTGCAGCAAACATGTGTGGTATTGTTGAAGCCGCAGATTTCATGAGATGAACAGTCTTGACACGCTTTCTGGTCAATCTTTAGCTTTACCTCAAACCCTTCTCTTAAAGCACTTTCTATATGTGTTAAATTTAACTCTTTCTCTTCTGGAACAAAGCTCTTAGGAACGTTAATTGTGAAACTGTCAAGGCAGGACTTATGATAATCAAGGTTTTCAGAAACTGAGATAGGACCCCAACCAGGACATGTATAACTTGAATGGTAAGAACGCTTAGGGTCGCAGAGGTAGAAAACAGTGAGGTTCTTGAAGGTCGGTGAAAGCTCAAAGATTTGGGGAGGCAAGGTTGTGCCTGTGAATGTAGAGTTGCAAAATGAACCTTGTAACTCTGAACTGGAAAGTTTAAGAGTCTTAGATGTTTGATCTATATGGAGAACATGGTACAGATGGTTTGAGATGGTTAAGGAGGTGATGTTGTTAGGGCAGCGAAGTTCCAGCAATGGATGACCGCAATCTTTGTGACGTTTCCCTCCCCAGAAGGGGAAACCGGCGGTGATGTTCCCGCACTGAAACTGAGCTTCACACAATCCAAGTTCTTGTTTACTTGAAACACAGGGAAGATGGTGAAATAAGGAGAAGAGAAAGAACAAGACCAAACAAGAACTGGGAAGATAGTACATGATTTCTTGAATCTATGAAAAGTGGGTCTTTTGGGTTTTGTTTGTGTTTTTGGACCAGAGCAAGTGAGAGAGAGGCATAAAGAGCTAGTGGAAAAGGTGAAGGTCGTGAAGGACCAAGTCATAACTCATAAGAGGAGTAGTGGACAAAGACAGATAGACTTGAGAGTTCTTTTCTTTGAGTTAATATGTGTTTTTCTGTTAATAATCTTTATTAATATATAGTTTTTCAAAAAAAATTATAAAAAATGTTTTTAAAACATATATATTTATCCATTTTTAAATTTAATTTGATATTAATATATATATATATATATATATATATAATATAATATAAATAATAAATTTATTTAGTTTTAGCTGGAAATGAGAGGGACTTGCCGATAAAGGCTAATACCATCCCATCTTCTAATCTCCTACTTCTTATTTGCTTCATTTCTCTAAAGCCGACAAAATAGAATATAAGAGATTGGAAAAGTCAATACTTTGATCAGTCAAAGACTAATGTTCACACTTTGAGTTATACTCATATTACGACTCGTTAAAAGAAATTATATTGATTGATATTTCAAAACATATCAGTTTTAATTTAGCATACTAGAAATAGCATGATCCAAGCAATGTGGACAACGGCTACAACTGGTAAGAAGTCATGTTCGAATCTGAATCCTTATTTGAGAAACGTTTTGAGACTCATGTCTTCGACTCCAGTGATGTGCACCATCGCAAGATCTCGCTAGGTTCAAATATTTGTATTTTAATGAGTCTGTACAATGTCCAAGCCACATGTGTTGCCCAATAGAACCATCTCTTCCACCCTATCGGCATTGAATTGCTGTATTTTCCTCCAAACAGAAACTTAAAGTTATCAAATGTAAAAACACTATTACTTGAAGCACAAGGACGACGGCAGGATGAAGAACAAAACCAGACAAGACGTAGAGAGATAACACATGCATGATTTGTTTGGGATATATGAACAGTATTTTTTGTGTTGAGGGCAAACAAAAAGAGAGAAATTGATAAAGAGGAAGTGGACACGGTGAAGGTTGTGAAGGACCAAGAAAGGATAGTGACCGATACATAGAGATTTGGAGTCTTTTTTTATTACTTGTCTTTACTAGTTGACCCTGAAAAACTAAATTGAGATATTGGTCATTGTGTCTTGCGTGTTGTGTTCCTCCTTTTTCCAAAACATATTCTTGGAATTTATTTTCTTCTTTTTTTTTTTTTTTTTTTTTTTTTGATAATTCAGGGGAATCCCAGACCTATGGAGGGGGAAGAGCCCAGACTAATCCCCTGGGGGAGGTGCAGCCCACAGATAGACTCTCTCTCCGGATATGCAAATGGGCCGAAAGCAAGACCCATATCCATGTGGCCAAGTGGAGATCTAGCAATTGCGCGCTTGCGGGGAATCGATCTCTGGCCTAGACCAAAAGGGCAACTCCTCCACAAGTGGCAACCACTAGACCAAGAACACTTGGTTATTTATTTTCTTCTTTAGAAAATCATGTAATTATATCTTCAGTGGGGATGAGAGGGACTTGCCGGTAAACCCATATACCATGTAATTAGGTTTCATGCATTGTCATTTATGTACTGAGCAATCATCAATCTTCTTCTTGTTGTTTTGCTCATAGATGTATTTTTAGACAAAAACATTTATATTTATTTTGAAATTTCTGAATACAAATCGCTGAAGTGCAGATGAATTAGTTAAATGTGTTAGCTCATTTGCCTAGCTTCACAAGCAAGGGTAACCTACAAAAAGATATGAAAAAGAAAGAAGATAAATTAAAGTAGTATTTAAATTATGATGTATAGATGACAAAAAAAAAACTTTTAATATAAAGAGAAAATAAAATTAGTAATATCAGAAATTCGGTGATGTGAATATCGAAACAAGTGTTTTTTGTTAAAGAATATCAAAACAAGTGTTATGCAGTACATTCAGTAATGGTAGTGTGTGGCTTTGTCCCTTTTTTTTTCTGTGAATATTTTTGATACATTCTCAGAGGTTCTTCGTGGAAACAGAGTTATATCTTGAGTGGAGTTTTGGATACTATCTCTTGTCTCCTAAAACTGTTTGTCTTCATTTTCTAAAACTTACCAAAGATGATTTTAGGAGACTGGAAATGTCAATAAATTGATAAGTCAACATAAGTCTTTCTTCAAACTAAACTACGCGTTTAATAATATTGACTCAGAAAACGACTCACGAGTGTCATCGAACTAAAAAGGGGGTTTATGTGTTTATGCTTCCATTGTTGTAATCCCCTAAACGCGTTTATTAGTACATACCTTCTTCTCTATATCTAGAGAATTTAGAGATTTAAATTCATGCTTTGTCATTTGGGTACTTTTAGACAAGACCATAGTTAGCTATAAGTTTCAGAATACAAATCACTGAAGTCCTTAATTTGTTTGTTGTCTGAGAGGGGAACTAGGCAAGAAGCTAAATAGTGAATTGTTCCCATGAAATAGTCTAAGAGTGAGAAGTCCTAGATAAACATTTATAATCTGGTGACACAAATACAATGGTTCAAAGCATTTATTAAACATGTTATTAATATGCAGATGAAACTCAAAATTATTGATTATCATCTTTGGGTGTAATGCCACAATTGTTTATTGTCATGCCAAAGAAAGCTCTAAAGATGAATAAAAATGTGTTTGCTGCTTTTGTGCTTTAATAGGTTTCATGGAGGTTTCTTTCTTTATGCGACATTTATGGAACATACTTCTGTGTATGCTGAGATATCCTCTGAAAAAGAAGAAGATTCTTGAAGAGTTGTTGTGGGGATTTGCTTCAAAACAGGCCTAGGAGGGACTTCAAGAGCATTTACGTTCCCTTCCATCATCTCTACAACTCTGTCCATCGGTGGGCGATCTGATGGGGAAGACTGAATACACCACAAACCCACCAATGTCATCTTCTTAGCTATCTCATCTTCTTCGTTGTTGATTTTGTTCTCGATAAGCCTTTCATTGTCTCCTTTCTCGAGATCTTTATATATCCATTCTGGAAAGTACATTGAGCTTGGGTTCGATGCTGAGTCTTCAGTTGATGTTTTGTTCCTTGCTCCTATCATCTCAAGAACCAACATTCCATAGCTATACACATCCGACTTGTGGGAAACTCTACCGTACATTCTTGAAAACAATTCAGGTGCAATGTACCCTATTGTACCTCTTGTATCTAGCAATGATATAATACTCTCTTTCTTCTCGCAGAGCCTAGCAAGGCCAAAGTCTGAAACTTTGGGGCAAAGATTGTCATCTAAGAGTACATTCTGTGGTTTTATGTCGAAATGTACAATTCTTGTTCTGCAGCCATGGTGCAAGTACTCTAGACCACGAGCAACACCTAGCGCAATTCTATATAGTTCTCCCCAATTCATATTTGATGACTTCTTGTAAGAGATGAACTTATCAAGAGACCCATTTTCCATAAATTCGTAAATAATTGCTCTCTTGGACCCTTCAGAGCAGAATCCAAGCAGGGTAACAATGTTGACATGAGAAGTTTTGCTCATTCTTGCAACTTCATTGATGAAGTCTTCCCCATTACCATGCGAATCTTTTAAGATCTTCACAGCAACACTACGGCCGTCACAAAGGGTTCCTCTATAAACAGTTCCAAATCCACCTTTTCCAACCACTTCAGCGAATGAATTTGTAATTCTCTCCACTTGCACGTAGCTATAGTGTTTCAGTGGAATAAAGTCCTTTAGATATTGTTGTCTCGAATCATCTGATGTCGTCCTTCTCAGAACATTCGATGTCTTCCTTCTTGGATCATTCAATGTCTTCCTTCCCCGGCTGATGAGACAGGACAAACATGCGACTACAAGAATGACGCCCAACATTGCAAAGGACGCAGCCCCAATACCTAGAGACAGAAATATTGTTAACAATGGTTTTAATAATACGACAACGGAGAAATCAAATTAGGAAAAACGTTAAGCACCTCCTTTTGCTCCATTAGAGAGGCCTGCATCTATGGAATGGCACCGGAAAAAAGGTTAGTTCGAACTAAATACAGAACTTTGAATCTTACGTACTGGAAATGAAAAACTTGAAACTCGAGGGAGTTTCTGTACATAGTTATCAGAAACTAAAAGGATTTTCTGTAGATGATCCAATCAAAAGTTCGATTTAAGGAAGGGACTAGTGGTGATTCTTGTGGAAATTATAACATGTAGGAAATATTACCCTTGTTTCTAGTAGGGTTTTGTGGCTCTTCCATATAATAGCAGACGAATCCACTTGAGGTAGGTGTCTGAGTATATCCACAAGCACCCTTAGAGTGTATGCACGTTTGACAATCTGCCTCAAAACCCTCTTCAAGTGCCTCCTTTAGATTATCGGTACTCAAAGTCAGGGAGACATAATTTGTGGCTAATGTTTTGATACCAGAGACATAATTTGCGATTCCTCCGCTACAATCAAGCTTGTAGTCAGGGAGACCACAGTCTTCGCTGCCAGATTTCCAGAAAGGATAAAAGAGCTCGCTCTGATCACCACAGCTAAATGGGCCACCACAGCGTCTGTGAAGCTCAAGCTCAGTAGCTGAGAAAACACAAATTGGGATCACAAAGAGTATCCATATGAAGCCATAGGACATATATTTTGTCAGGGAAAATGCCAAATTGATCATTGTTTTGCAGGTGAAGAAAAAAAAAATAGTGAAAAAGAAGAGATAACGGAATAGGTTAATGGTTTTGATACGACGCCTCCAAGTCATGTGCTTTAACAATTCTCAAACCTAATGAAAATTATATCCCCGAAGTATAATAGAATTTTACAAAATTATATCCTCCTAGTTTCTTCCTTGTTTTTCATTTCTACAAAATCTAAAATGTATTGTTGAAAATGGGTTTTCTGCAAAACAACCCTATAAGTCAATTTCGTTTACAAGTTTACCCTCCAAGTCCGAATTATGCAAGTCAATCCTACAATCTCAAAAGTCACCCGCAATATTGTCCCCCCGTGTAGCAATGACATAAAATGAGTTATCGATTTCCACGTCATCGATATACGGAAGGGCTATATTGCAGGTGACTTTTGAGATTGTGGTTTGACCTGTATTTATTTGACATGCAGGTTTGTCTTGCAAAAAAAAAATTACATGGAGGGTTTTTTTAAAAAAACTCCTTATGTTTTCAAACGGAGTTATCGAGTGTCACGTCATCGCTACACGGGGGGACAATATTGCGGGTGACTTTTGAAATTGTAGGGTTGACTTGCATAATTCGGACTTGGAGGGTAAACTTGCAAACAACTTAGAGGATTGTTTTGCAGAAAACCCTTGAAAAAATAGTGTAGAGAAAGGCAAACACCATTCACTACTGAAACTGTGACTGATGTGGATGAAGAAATTTCAATTAAAGTGAATGAAAAAATATAGTCACTTAGATCAAAAAAAAGAAAAAAACATGATGTGAGAGGGTGAAAAAAACAAGTCAATGATTTTTGAGGTCATCATGGAGAATAATCCTAGGCTTTTTAAAACTGCAACTTCAGAATAAGATGTATAAGACATTTACCATGGAGTGTATCGCATACTGATGATGAGGATTCCTTGCAGCAAACTTGGGTGGTATTTTCGAAGCCACAGATTCCTTGAGAGGATGAACATTTTTGACACGCTTTCTCATCGGTCTTCACCTTTACCTCAAACCCTTCTCTTAAAGCACTTTCCAAATTGCTCATGTTCAACTCTTTCTCTTCTGGAACAAAGCTCTTTGGGGCGTTAATCGTGAAACTACCATTGCATGAATCATGATAATCAAGGTTTTGAGACACTGAGACAAGGCCACTATCAGGACATGTATAACTTGAACGGTAAGAAAGCTCAAAGATTTCGTAAGGTAAGGTTGTGGCTGTGAATGAAGCGTTGAAAAATGAACCTTGAAGCTCTGCTCTAGCGAGTCTAAGAGTGTTAGATGTTTGATCTATATGGAGAACATTGTAAAGATGGTCTGAGATGATTATAGAGGTATGGTTGTTAAAGCAGTGAAGCTCTAGCGATGGATGACCGCAAATTTGGGGACGAATCCCACCGGAGAAGGGGAAACCAGCGGTGATGTTTCCACACTGAAACTGAGATTCACACCAACCAAGTTCTTGTTTACTTGAAACATGAGGAAAATGGTGAAATAAGGAGAAGAAGGGGAAGAAGAAGAAGAACAGACAAGAAGTTGGGAGGTGGTACATGATTTGTTTGAGATCTTGTGTTGAGAAAAAAAAAGGAGAGATAAGTCGATAAGAAGCAAGTGGATCGGAGATGGAGAAGATCGAGAAGGACCAAGTCAAGGAAGGATTGTGACAAATACAGAGAGACTTTGGTGTGTTTATTAGTTGACCCAAAGTCAAGGAAGGACAGTGATAGATACAAAGAGACTTTGGAGTCTTTATTAGTTTCAAATACAAAGCCATTTTTGAAACCTAATGAGAATCTAAAGATATTACACGGAAAAATTGGAGTGTGGAAAAAGGCAAAGACCATCATTCACTATTGAAACTAACTGATGTCGAAGCTGAAGATTCAATTTATTAAAAGTTTGTGAAAAGAGAGTGACTGGTTAATGCCAATTTTGAATCCTGTTAAGCTAAGTTAGCACTTTTAACAGATCCTCTCCTATTAAACTGAGAAGACATTGCATTCTTGTTCATTCCAAAGGTCTATGCCTCCATAAGAAGGTTCAGGTCACCTTGCTGACACAAGTTCGTCACTTCTTCAACGACGAATTCGCCAATTTCGGCATCTCCGGTTACCTTTGAGCAGTTGAATCAGATCGGATAGCCGTTGGAGAAACCGAACGGGTAACGCAGTGAACCGGTGGTTTGTGTAGCAATGTGTAAAGTGAAGAAAAAGAAAATGAGATTCGGTTGGCGGGTTTTTGCCATCGGGGAAAAAGAAAGATTACAGTATTATGAAATCGAATGATTGTGCCAATGGCAAAGATTTTAAATTCTGCAACATGATTATTAGTTCAGAGTTCAGACCATTAGCTAGCTTGCGAGCAGATGCTAAGGGGCAGTCTTGTCATTTATCTTTAACGTAGTCTTGGCAAAGAAGTCTTCCTTTTAAAATTTGGTAGGTATTGGCAGATTTTTTTGCAGACTTTTGGAAAAGGTGGTCTATTTTGTAAATATAAAATCTATTTTGTGAAATTAATTTACAGTCAAACCTCCATTATTTATTAATTTAACTATAAATTAGCATTTATTATTTTATAGTATAAATATATAAAAAGATTTTGTTCAATTATTGAAAATATAAAAAAAGTATAACAAAAAAAAACATTGTTAAAAATATATGAATGTTCAATAAACAAATTTTAGTAAAGTACCATCATTTCAACGAAGCGTTATGATTAAAACTTGTCATGTACAATCTTCATTAATAGTTTTTCAGAACATTCATGACAAATGTTTTAAAACATTCTTATTTAGCCATTTTATAGTTAAATGTGATATTCTATATATATATATATATATATATATATATATATATATAATACAGAAAACGTAAATATATAAGAAATAGCCAATCTATACTAGTATAATTGCAGCACTTTTTGTGACGGTGGGTAAAAAAGCTTTCGGGTATATCAGATATCCGATCCATTTTAAAAATTCCTTCACAAAAAATTTGTTGGGTCGGGTTATATTTAACCCAACTCATACACCGGATATTCCATATTTAATAATTTAGATTTTGAGAAGATTTGATTAAGATTTATAATTATGATTCTCCTATCATCTTTGTTTGATTTGTTTTTAACTGTTTTGAATCATCATATAATACATAAAGTAAAAAAAAAATCAAATTTTTTTTCTGCATATAATGTGATTCGAAATTTAAAAAACGGACATATATTATCCAATTGACGAAAATGTGTGTTCAACGTTCTACATCGATTAAAATATTTAGACAATGATTCAGAATCATATCATAAATAAGAACATTAATAAAATAAATGAGTTTTTTGGCGGGATGGGTTTGGCGGGACGGGTTTTTGAATCAACAATAATAAAAAGATTAAAATATCATTAATCCGCCGCTTCAATACGGATTTAATCCCTTTTTTTTTAATACAAATCACAGGACGGGTTAAGAAATTACAGAACGGGTTATATTTCGGAAATGATTTATATGGCGGACGAATTTGAATCAATATTTATATACCGCTTTAATACGGGTTAAATCCTCAGTTTATTAATAATTATCTCGTGGACTCGTGGTATACCGTTACTTAATAACAATTGTAAACTATAATATAAATAAATATGTTATAAGGAGATACAATTTACAAAATATTTTTACACTAACTTTAAAATTAAATCATCCCGCGGTGTACCGCGGGTTAAAATCTAGTTATGTTGTAAAATATGTATAAATAAAAAATTTATTAAGATTATTTAGGATAGTTTTTCTTAAAAATGTTAGTAATTTCGATCAAATTTATCTTGTAATCTTAAAAGTCCTTCTTAAAATATCTTAAGAGAAATAATGCTAAGAATACAAATATATTCTTCAATTATTCCAAGAACAATTATATCAATTCTAATCTAATTCTCATTGGAATTTACTAATGACAGTATGTGTAATATTCTACAATTTAAAATTTATTTTCTTTAATGTATTTTTCAAATAGCAATACAAAGAATTAGAGATATCAAAGACAAGTAAGTCAGTTCGTAAGAATTTTCTAGGAACTTGAGGCAAAACATGGAATTAAATCTTGAGTGGGAATGGAGGGACTTATTTGTAAACCTAGATCACACTTTCTCCTCACTAAAATCTGTTTTTCTTCATGCATTAAATTCCTGTCTGTGACTTATTCGACCTTAGAAAATTCAACAATGTGATTGTGACTAAACTTTTTTTTTTTTTTTTTTTTTTTGAAAATAATGTTAAATTATATTCAAAAGAAAATAATGTTTGTACAACGAATGCTACGAGAGATTGAATGTTTTGAGCTGAATATAGAATTTAAAACTTAATTTCGAGTGTCAAACCTAATCCTTTATCATAGCGTCGATCTCCAATGAGCCGGATTGCCGGAAATCTGTTCCTTATTTGCTTATCAATCCAATCAGTGAGTCGAGTTGCTGAGTTCGGTGATTCGCCATGGCGCCGCTTGTTCCTCTCCTGCCATATAACTGAAACCACTGTTTGAAATGCATACCTAGCCGTGAAGCTTTCGGTCCGGTTTTGCCATTTGCCGCAGATCAAGTTGAGTATAGTGTGCCAATCCGTCAAGTAGTTTGCTTTGAAGATGTTTTTAGCCACAGCTGACCAAACTTCAGAGCAAAAAACACAAGAGAAAAACAGATGGTCCCGAGATTCGATCGCATTATTACAGAGAACACATGTCCCGAGAGCTCCATTGTTCCACTGTAACATACGATCTCCCGTAGAGAGTCTATTATGTACCGCTAACCAAACGCAGAATGAAAACTTAGGGGTTGCGTGAGGAAACCAGACCCCATTGTGCCAGGTAACCGTTGTTACAGTAGTACGAATATGATTCCAAGTATCTCTGGTGGAGAAGCTTGGATTGTGACTAAACTTTTCACCAACTATGATAAAACTAAATCATCCAAAAGTACGTTAAACGGTTAAAGAGAAGCCGCAAGTAAAAAAATATTCGATATTGCGTGTTTTTGTTATCAAAGAGTAAAATATTCACACACATGTGTTCTGTTTTTCCCTGTTTTGCTTAATGACATAACGAAAATGTATCTGACGGCTTTCAAGTTAAATAATGACAAATGTGTTCCATCAGGGCCGGCCCAAACTATTTGAGTGCCTAAAGCAAAAAAAAATTTGGCCCATTAATAAAAGCTGTTATAAAAAAAAAATACAAGTTTTAACATGTATGGAATTCGAAACCGTGACCTGTACAACAAAAGACTTCAATCTAACCACTAGACCACAGTAACATTTTAAAAATTGATGCCCCTAAAACTACTTATAATTATTTGATGCCTAAAGCCCTTGCTTCATGGGCTTTACCCATGGGCCGGCCCTGTGTTCCATTGTTTTTGTTATGCAAAGAACATTCACATTTAAACCACAGAGATTTACTCATAAACTAAAAGCTTGCGATATGCAGTTTATGGAGAAAATCATATCTCGGAGGAGATTGAATTTTCCTCTGAAATCCAGGAAGAATCAAGATGAGGCACTACGGAACATTCCAAAACAGGTCTAGGAGGCACTTCAAGAGCATCCAGGTTTCCTTCCATCATCTCTACCACTCTGTTCATCGCTGGCCGATCTGATGGCCAAGGCTGAATACACCACAAACCTACCAACGTCATCTTCTTTGCTATCTCATCTTCTTCGCTACTTATTCTATTCTCGATAAGCCTTCCATTGTCTCCCTTCTCAAGATCCTTATATATCCATTCGGGAAAGTACATTGAACTTGTGCTAGATGTAGTTCCTTCGGTTGATGTTTTGTTCCTAGCTCCTATTATATCGAGAATCAACATTCCATAGCTATACACATCTGACTTGTGGGAGACTCTACCGTACACTCTTGAAAACACTTCAGGTGCAATGTACCCTATCGTTCCTCTTGTGTCCAGTAGTGACAAGATACTTTCTTTCCTCTCGCATAGCTTAGCAAGGCCAAAGTCTGAAACTTTCGGGGAAAGATTGTCATCTAAGAGTACATTCTGTGGTTTTATGTCGAAATGTACAATTCTTGTTCTGCAGCCATGGTGTAAGTACTCTAGACCACGAGCAACGCCTAATGCGATCCCATATAGTTCCATCCAGTCCATATTTGTTGACTTCTTGCTTGAGATGAACTTATCAAGAGACCCATTTTCCATAAATTCGTAAATAATTGCTCTCTTATAACCTTCGGAACAAAATCCTAACAAGGTAACAATGTTGACATGAGAAGTTTGGCTCATGCTTGCAACTTCATTGATGAAGTCTTCACCATTATTACCCTTTAAGTCTTTCAAGACCTTCACTGCAACCATACGGCCATCAGAAAGGGTTCCTCTATAGACAGTTCCGAATCCGCCTCGCCCGACCACTTCCGCGAATGAGTTTGTCATTCTCTTCACTTGTTCGTAGCTATACTGCTTCAGTGGAATAAGTGCTTTGAGTCTTGGTTGTGGAATACGTTTCTTGAGCTCGTGTTGGCCCAGATCATGTGAAGTTTTTCTCTTTTTTCTCTTTCGGAGAATTTGGACAACCAATGTTAAGACCAAGAATGGAAGAAGAAAAACACCTGCTATTGTAGCTGAAACCACAAATTGTTTTGATTAAGTGATCAAAACAGTATTCATAACCAAATTAAGTTTATTTAAAAGAATAGGAGAAGGTAAAACACCTATTTTTGCTTCAGAAGAAAAGCCTACAACAATGATTTTCAGTTTCATTTCAGTATAAATTAAAGTTGTTAAAGAAAATGGATATGAAATGATTAAGAAGCTTACGAGTTGGTCGATGGAGTGGCCGGCATTTAGTTTCTAATGGTAAGGTTCCTGTGAAGCCGCAATATTTATGAGAGGATGAACATTCTTGACACGAATTCTCATCGATTTTCAACTTCACCTCAAATCCATTTCTTACATCACTTACCAAATTGGTTATATTCAACTTTTTCTCCTTTGTAACGAAACTCGTGGGAACGTTCACAGCGAAACGTGCTTCGCAGCTAATAGGATTTTCAAGGTTGTCAGACACTGAGACCGAACCTATCGCAGGACATCCGTACCTTGCAAGGTCAGGAAGAACAGGGTAGCAACGGTAGAGTGTGACGCTCTTGTAGGTTGGCAAAATATCGAATATTTCTGGTGGCAAAGTCGTGTTGACGAATGGGAATGGAGAGAGACAAATGGACTGTAAAAAGTCTGTTCTGGCAATTCTAAGAGTGTTATATGTATGATTTATACTAAGAACGTGGTACAAATGGTCTGAGATGGTTATCGAGGTGATGTTGTCAAGGCAGCGAAGCTCCAGCAATGGATGACCGCAAACTTCGGGACGATTCCCTCCCCAGAAAGGGAAACCGGCGGTGATGTTTCCACATTGAAACTGAGATTCGCACCACCCAAGTTTTTGTTTACTTGAAGCACAAGGAATATGGTGAAATAAGGAGAAGAGGAAGAACAAAACCAGAAAAGAAGTGGGGAGATAGTACATGATTGGTTTGATCAATGAACAATGTGTCTTGTGGTGTGAGGAGACAAAAAGAGAGAGGAGATAAGGAGCAAGTAGAAACAGTGAGGGTTGAGAAGCACCCTAGGTCAAGGAAGGATAGTGAAAGATACAGAGAGATTTGGTGTCTTTTTTAATCACACGTCTTTGTTAGTTGACCCTAAAAATGGTATTTCTCAATTATTATCTTTGATTTTTTGGTTTTAGTAATTTATGGAATAAGTCAACAGTGGGAATGAGAGGGACTTACCGATAAAGCTCTACCATACTATTTCCTATCTTCTAAACCTAGTTGTTTTCATTTTTCTAAAGCTGACAAAAATAATAATTGAAAGTCAATAATTTGATAAGTCAAGGACTAATAGGTTCACACTTTCAGTTATATTTAGATTACGACTCGCGTTAACACGCCGGTTCTTTACTTGATAAATCAGTTGTAAATTAAACTAATATAACTAATGTTAAAGGAAATTTTAATAATTGATATACAGGCATATAATGAAAATTAAAAAGTATTTCAAAACATATTAGTTTTTAGCATACTAGAAACAGCAGGATCTAAGCGATGTGGACAATGGCTACAACTGCTAAGACAGTCATGTTCGAAACCCGAATCCTTAATTGAGCAACGTGTTGAGACTCATGTCTCTGACTCCAGTGATGTGCACCGTCAAATCCTTTATCCAGTAGTAGTACCATCTAGACCATATCGACATATTGGTATTTGCTGCATTTTCCTCCAAACAAAAACTTAAAAGTTATCAAATGTAAAAACACTTTTCTTGATATTATCACATGTACGTTGCTTTACCGGTCTGGTGAGGAAACGGGAGAAGAGATTCCAGAGACTGAGGAAGGATATGCAGATTCCAGCAATCTGATAGTTTGCGGCCAACGCCATAATTAAGCATAATACCGTATAGCATAAAGTAGATAAGTTTGTTAACATGTAATAGTAGAAGTGTAGAACCAAAAGAATTTGGCCACATCCGAGCATTGAGTAAAGGATTATCATGTAAACTCCGGTTTCAGCCGATCCAATCTTTTCATATGTCCTATGCAAATTAAAAAAGGATGTTTTCCCCCAATTTTATGCAAAAGAACTAGGATATGACCCGCGGTACACCGCGGGTTAATTATTTGATTTTTTTATTTTTATAAATTGATGAATTTATTGTGTATAATATTTTTTGTTGTATACCGCGGGTCACATGCGTTGTATCTAAAATAAAAAATTTTAAGTTGTATTTGTTTTGTTTAGTGTTTAAGATTGTATAATTGTATTTTGATTTGTTATTTATAGGATTTCACCTGTGGTATATTGTCTCGTATTAATATTGACCCAAACCCGTCCAACCATATAATCTAAAATGAAATTAAACATCATTTTGTTATTTTTTTAATAACACTTTTATTTAAATGTCATATAATTCGAGTTAATTTGAAAGTTGCTTTCAAATAGTTTCCATGTATATTTTTAAATTAGTGTATGTTTTTGGACCAACCCGTAAAAACAATTTATAATTGTATCTTAAAATACTAATTAGGATTTCACCCGTGATATACTGTCCCATTTTAGATAATTGTAAAAATTAAAGAAAGATCCGAATGACTCAATTTCGGGTCTGAATAAAATAACGACATGATTAAATGCTCAATTTGTTCTTAAAAATGTTAATATAGATTACACACATATTTTTATTCATCGATTGAGTAATATATGTCCGTTTTAAAAAATTTGAATTGTAACATATGCAGAAAAAAAAAAACTAAAATTTACTAACTATTTATATATTTTATAATAATTTAAAATAATATAAATATAAGATCAAATAAAAGTGAAATAAGAATCATATATTTATGTTTAAATTAGGTAGAGAGGTTTTAGGAAATTAGTGCAAATTTGTTATATTAGCATTAAATCATCATATTTGATTTCTTTATCTATAAAAATCGTGGAGAATATACCATAAATAAAGCATTTAAATATAGTAATTAGTTGAGAAAGTATATATATTTTAGATTTTATTAATTATTTTCGTTTTTTAATTTTGCCAAAATTTAAGGAAAGATCCGATTGAAGATTTCCGGGTCAAAATTAAACAAATTTGATCCGATTTGGGTACCCCAAAAACTGCTGCAAAAATGTATAGTAGATATATTTTTGGAGCTCTACACACTTGTTAAATTTAATTACATTTTTTGGCAAAGTTAATTGATTCTAGGGAAAGTGTTAAAATTCTTTTGTAAATCAACTCTTCATTTTAATAAATATTGATCTTATAAAAAAAAACTATACTACAGTTTCTATATAAAACAATTTAAAGAAAAATTGCTTAAAAATATTCTCAAAATTGCGATGCCATTATCCATTGCTTGGCATGTGGGCCGGGCCTGCCGGTTTGTATCGTGTTGTTTATGATTTCCACTGCTATTTACAGACTAGCCCCATTTTTAGATTTGATTTTCGTTTGAATTTTGATTGTGGTGTCAACCATATTTTAGGAAAAAATATCATATACACATGAAGAAAATTTTGTTAGAATAATTTTAAACTGAGAAATTTTTATAAAGAACAGAATTTCGGCGATTTCGGGGTAGAAAACCGTTCGCTCAATGACAATTGTGGGATGAATTGTTGTAGCGTTGGTGGCATCAAGGAACAATACTGCAGCGTACATGGCTACTGAGGTCTTTGATGAGTTATTGATTTTTCCTGAATAAAATATCAGAGTTCGGATTAATAAGCTTGTAACACTCTGGTTTAGTAGTAAAGCATATCATGTTGGATAAAATAATGGTTTTGATCTCACCCTATTGGTCCACTTGTATTTTTTCAAACATTAATTTATTGTTTCTCCAAATTAAAATACCATCTAATTATTTTTACATGTAATTAATCAGTACATCTAACTCAACAGTAATTAATACTCTCTCTGTCCCATTTTATAAGATGTTTTGTGTAAAAGCACAAAGATTAAAGAATAATTAATGTTTATTTTTTTTATAGGAATTCAGCCAATAGAAAAAAAAGACTGCATAATTTAAATGGTCATAACATACTAAATAAACATAAATTATGCATAGTAATCTGAGAAAATCTTATAAAATGGAACAAGGAAAAAATGCTAAAATATCCTATATAATTTGGGACAGAGGGAGTAAAATAAGTTTCTTGAATGTGGAATTATTCTTTTTGCGCATAATTGTGTTTTTGCACGTTCAAAATAATTCAAACTTTAGGAGAAGTCTTTAGTCAATGGTTAATTTAAAACAATCCATGTCTACGACATTTTTTACCAGAATTCGACTCCACTAAGTCGCGTTATCCCGTAAGAGATTAAAACTATTGGTGGGGTCTTCTCGACTCAAATGAAAAAAAAAAGAATTTTTTTTTTGAAGCTTCTTATTTGTTGGGTAAACGGAAAGGTTTTGATCTCACATTATTATTAGTAGACTTGGCATGTCTTTTTTTCACAACCTATCATCTAATTGTTGTCACATGTAATTACTACATCTAAAGACTCTTGAACTATATTCTGATCAACACTTGACTGTGCTTTTGCATATTCTAAATACTTTTATTAAATTTATTGGGTAAAAGATCTCACCCTATTGGTCTACTTAGCATATATTAATTAAAATTAGAATAAAATTTCCTACAAAATATCATCTAATTATTGTCACATTTAATTAGAACATCTAAGGTCACAATAATGAAATCAACTTCTAGAATGTGGAATTATTTATTTATCACATGGTCGTACTTTTGCTTGTTCTAAACATTAATTTGTTAGTTACAAGAAGGGTTTTGATAGTTGACAAAAGAAAAATAAATAAGAGTTTGAATCTCATTATAGTGATCCACTTGGCCTTTATAATTCTAAATAAAAAATAGTTTTATTTCCCAAGAAAATTTATTTTATTTCCATTGGCTTTGGAAAACTTTTCTAAGTTTTTCATAGTAGTAAAGCAATTTGATTAAAAAAAGCTCTTCGTCTTTCAGTATATGTCACGTAACCTTGACTTGGTCTTGATGCTTCTCTCTCTAAAGTCACTTGCTCCTCTCATCTCAACACAAACAGAACCTGGAAGGCATACTGTTCATATTTCTCAAACAGATCATGTACAATCTCCCCACTTCTTGCCTGGTCTTGTTCTTCCTCTTCTTCTTATTCCACCATCTTCCTTGGGCTCTAAGTAAAGAAGACCTAGGGTGGTGTGAGGCTCTGTTTCAATGTGGTAACATCACTGCTGGTTTCCCCTTCTGGGGTGGAAATCGTCCCAAACCTTGCGGTCATCCGTTGCTGGAGCTAAGCTGCCGCAAAGACATCACCTCTTTAAACATCTCAAACCATGAGTACAACGTTTTTGATATAGATCAAACATCTGATACTCTTAGACTTGCTAGAACAGACCTTCTAGGTTCGTTTTGTTCCGCTGAATTCATTACCACAACCTTCCCCCGCGAAATCTTTAAGCTATCCCCAACTTATAAGAGCCTTACCGTTTTATATCACTGTGATCCAAAGCTATCTTACCGCTCAAGTTATACATGTCCGGATCTAGGTCTTTTCTCCATGTCTCAAACTCTTGATTACCAGTATTCCTGCCAAGAAAGTTTCACAGTTAACGTTCCAACGAGTTTCGTCCCAGAGGAGAAAGAGTTGAATTTGACCCATTTGGAAAGTGCTCTAAGAAAAGGGTTTGAGGTGAAGCTGATGATCGATGAGATACCGTGTCAAGAATGTTCGTCCACTCGTGGAATCTGTGGTTTCAACAGTACCACACAGATTTGCTGCAACGTAACCTCAACATCTGGTGGAGTTACTTGCGTACCACAACATCAACCTAGTGGTAAGTTTCTCATCTAATCCTATTGAGTGGCCTCCAAGGAAACAAAACAAGAGTATAACAGAATGATCAAGCTATCTCTTTCTTTGACGAAATCTCTGTCTTAAAGTCAAAGGATGCTCTTTGTGATCCCATTATTTGTTTTCTTTTTTCAGCTGATTTGCTTAAGAAACGCTGCAGTGAACGGTTTAGCTGCGGCAATCAGCGAGATCTCTATTACCCCTTCTGGATACCTGGCAGGGAATACTGTGGCCACCCTGACTTCAAGCTCGATTGTAGCAGAGGATTCGCAGAGATTAACATCGCCTCCGTGAAGTTCAAAATCATAAATATGAGCCATGACTCTTCTACCATAAGACTTGCCAGATCAGATTATATCGGCGATCTTTGTCCCCCAAACCCATTAAATGAGCCACTCATTGAAAACGTCCTTCAATTCAGTGCTGACACAGAGCTTCTAACATTATATTACGACTGCCAACTAAACTCATCGGTTATTTCTGCTACTAGCTACATTGGAGAGCTTGGTTGTGATGGTGGAAGAAGTTACTTTGTAACGAAAAACCTCTCATCTCCTTTACTTGACAGGTTTAGAGGCGTTTTAAACAACTTAAGGGGAATGTGCAAAAGAAAAGTTCGAATTTTCCGAAAGAGAAAAACATCAGATGATCGGCGACAAGAGAAGCTAATTAAAGGCCCTTATTCCACTCAAACATTATACTTATGCGCAAGTGAAGAAAATGACAAAGTCATTTGCGGAAGTGGTTGGGAGAGGCGGATTTGGAATTGTTTATAGAGGTACTCTTTGTGACGGCCGTGTTGTTGCGGTGAAGGTCTTGAAAGAATCAAAGGGTAATAATAGTGAAGACTTCATCAATGAAGTTTCTAGCATGAGCCAAACATCTCATGTCAACATTGTTTCTCTTCTTGGATTCTGCTCTGAAGGTTCAAAAAGAGCTATTATATATGAATTTTTGGAAAATGGGTCTCTAGATAAGTTCATCTCAGAAAGGACTTCAGTGAATTTGGACTTGACGACACTGTATGGGATCGCGCTAGGAGTTGCTCGTGGTCTAGAGTACTTGCATTATGGCTGCAAAACAAGGATTGTGCATTTCGACATTAAACCTCAGAACGTGTTGTTGGATGATAATCTTTCCCCTAAAGTTTCTGATTTCGGACTTGCTAAACTCTGCGAGAAGAAAGAGAGCGTCATGTCATTGATGGATACAAGAGGTACAATAGGATACATTGCATCAGAGATGATCTCTCGAGTTTATGGGAGTGTTTCTCACAAGTCTGATGTGTATAGCTACGGAATGTTAGTCTTCGAAATGATAGGTGCAAGGAAGAAAGAAAGATTTGGTCAAACATCTACATCGAACGCAAGCTCCATGTACTTTCCAGAATGGATTTATAAGGATCTTGAGAAGGCAGACAGTGAGGATCTTGAGAAGGGAAAGCATATCGAGAATGGAATCAGCAGCCAGGAAGAGGAGATAGCAAAGAAGATGACATTGGTGGGTTTGTGGTGTATTCAGCCTTCCCCGTCAGATCGTCCACCAATGAACAGAGTAGTAGAGATGATGGAAGGAAGCTTGGATACTATTGAAGTGCCACCTAGACCTGTTTTGCAACAAATTCCTGTAGTACCTCTTCTTGAATCTTCTTGGATTTCAGAGGAAGGTTCAACAATCTCTGAGATTGAAAATAGAAACAGTTTGTGAAAAAATATTGTCTTGAAGATCATACTCTAGAGAAAATATACTATAAAGTTATGCCTGTAAATGATATTTGCATGCATAACAAATAGAGAACATGTATCAGTATACAAGAACACAATTCAAAAGTTGCTACTAATTCCGTGCTTTGATAGGTCATGTGGGATTTTGCACAACAGGTTCAGGAGGGACTTCAAGAGCATCTGATGTTTTTTTCTTTCTCAAAATCTTGGCTCGACAACATCGGCAAAGAAACACCAAGGAAACAATAACACCTAATAGTAAAAACCAATGTAGAAAAACAGAGAAAATGTTTGGTTAGTTACTTTGTAGTAAAATATATTAATCTAAGAAGATAAAAATATTTTTGAATAATCCCTAGGCAGAAAACTAACCTATGAGAATCAAGATCAATACACCACCTGTATAGCCAATAGATAAGTAAAATTTGTCAGCAAAGAACCAAAAACTAACCTATGAGAATCAAGATTAAGGAACAATTAACTCAGAGAGGAAAGGTTTATGCAATAAGCACCTATTATCCATCCAACAAAAGATTCTGCATCAATCAAATGGCACCAAAAAGAAAGTCAGTTAGAGCTGAATACTGAAACGAAATCTTGAAACTAAAGAGCTTCTGTAAATGATCCAATGAAAGAAATCTTACTGCCAGAACTGCATGATAGGCTATACGGGTCTTTACAATAGCAGATGAACGTACTTGAGGTCTGATTATATCCACAAGAACCCTCAGAATCTACATACATTGAACAATCCAAATATATAACAGAAAAATAGGGTGTGGCACAAGCAAAATAAAAATAAAAAACAGTAAGGGAAAGAGACTAATGCTAAAGTTAAGCTTATCTATTGTCTCACCTTTTCACTTGAGCTCACTAGTAAGTAATTTATGTCTAAAAGTGTGAAAAATAAACAAGAGCAAGATTTTGGTTGCTGATGATAGTAAAGAAGAGGACTAGGAAACGGAAATGATGCATATGAAACTTACCACTTGGTGGACGACATCCTGGTGTTAAGTTTTCGGTGAAGCCATGACATCTTCCAAGAGAGGATAAACATTCCTGACATGTATTCTCATTGATCACCACCTTCACCTCAAATCCTTTTCTTAAAACACTTTCCAAATTGGTCACATTCAACTCTTTCTCTTTTGTATCGAAACTCGTAGGAACCTTCACGGTGAAACTCGAACGGCAGCTCTCAGGATGTTTTTCAGGGTTTTCAGACACTGCGATGGGACCTATCCCAGGACATGTATAGCTAGAAAGGTTAGGAAGCAAAGAGGAGCATTGGTAGAATATGGTGACGCTCTTATAGGTCGGTGGAAGCTCGAAAGTTTCCGGAGGCAAGGTTGTGTTGGTGAATACAGAGGAGCAAAAAGAACCTAGAAGGTCTTGTTTGGTAAGTGTAAGAGTGTTAGATATTTGATCTATATGGAGAACAGAGTATTTTTGGTTTGAGATGAATAGAGAGGTGATGTTGTTTTTGTTGCAGTGAAGCTCCAGCGATGGATGACCGCAATCTTTGTGACGATTCCCTCCCGAGAAGGGAAAACCAGCGGTGATGTTTCCACACTGAAACAAAGTCTCACACCAGCCAAGTCCTTGTTTACTTGAATCACAAGGAAGAGGGTGAAATAAAGAGAGGAGGAAGAATCTGACTAGACAAGAAGTGGGAAGATGGTACATGATTTGTTTGGTTTGTGTTGAGAAGATGCAGGGGAAATGAATTAGTGAGATACAGAGAGGGAAAGAGAGACAAGCAGCCTCAGGACCATGTCAAGTGGGGAGAGTGGGTGGACCATGTCAAGTTTAATTTTGAAATTTCTTTGTTTTTCTCTCCAAGTTAAATATTTTGAAATGTCTCTCTAAGCACTGAAAATTATATTTATGTACGGTTCTACCACGTAGTTGATGAGGTCTCAGCATTGTTCGAACTGGATATGATTATGGGAACACAATTTTTCCTTGCAGTGAAGTGAAAGCATAAGGAAGTGAAAAATATCTTCTAAACACATCCCAGAGAACGTGTGGCATGGAAACACAAAATTCAAATCTTCGATATATATGACATTTTTTTTTTTTATATGACATATTTGTGGCATAGTAATGACTAATGATTAGTTCTCCAAATATAATAGCTCGCTCCAATAACTAGGAAATGTTGGTATCGGATTAAGCACAAATCGAGCCCAATGAAAACCCATTAAGTGTCGAAGATATAAAAAAAAAGCCTAGGAGATGAGGTACATAGTACATACGACGTAAATGTTAAGCCCATGAAACACGAAGATGAGTCATCCATATCACTCCAGTGACCTCGACACATTCTAATTGCTGAATCAAAACGGTCAAATTTTTAATTTAATGAGATATTTAACAAGTTAAGGCATTTTGATTTGAGCATTTAATTAATGACTAAGACAGAACCACTGCTTAAACTGATAGTAACTTTTTTTATCCACATTTTCTCGAGAAATCATTAGCAGAACTTCATTTTCCTTTGTATTTCAGCTCGAGTATCTTCAACAAAAAGTCATAATCAGAACTATTAATGATTATGGTTGGGGAAACGATCAGAACGTGATCCATAGGGGCTCTATATTCTTTCTTAACATGCCTTAGAGATATGGCGACCTTATATATATACCGTGCAATGAAAGTTTTCAGGTTTTTACATGTTCGGGACAAATTTGGAGATTATGGATCATTCTGGAGTAAAATAGAGAAGTTATGCTGCAAGAGCAATTCGGAGACGAAAATTGGTGTAAGTGTCGATCGACACCACCCCTGGTATCGGTCGACACCAATTCGTGACGGCAATTCGATTTCACGTCTTTTTTAAGTTATGAAGATTTGCAGAGAGTGCCCAAAAGTTTTCCCTATTTTCAAAGAAGTCCATGAACGTTTTTAAGAACATATATATATATATATATATATATATATGTTTTAGAGACATCTCTCATATTCTCATTCTATTGTATTTTTGAAGCTTGAACCCTTTGGGAGATAATTGGAGAGAGCTCCTCCAAAGAAGATTTCTTAAACTCTTTTACTTCTTCTCTTGATTTCTTAATGTAATTCTATTCAATCATGTTGTTTGTTTCATTCTCCATATCTAAGTAGTTTGCTTGTTAGGTTTAGGGATTCTCATTAGAGATTTAGATGAATTAATAAGTTGATTACCTGTTAGGATTAATCTTTAGAGTTCTTCACCTTAGGTTGTTCTTAATGATAGTTTTAGAGTAGCTAACTAGAACTTGATCATAGGATAATAGGTAGATTCGAGAGGTCATCTATTACTGGTACTATCTTAGGTGGGCAAAGATTTCTAGATTCATACGAGAGGTGGTCTAGGAATATTTGTGAACATATCAAACCTGTTTTTAATGCTAGTCTAGATCTAGGAGTTCGCATTCGAGAGGGTGGAATTACCTAATATTAGACTTGTTAGTCAACGCATTCGAGAGGGTGGTTGGCTATACATTAGTGTTTTGAGTTCTAGAACGGTTCGATAATAATCCTAATTAATTTGCTAGATTTACTATTAGTTTATTTCCTGAAAAATATCTAAGCCTAACGTTTTCCTCATCTGTTTTAAAACACAAATTTAATTGCTTTCTTTGATTTTTAATATTTATATTTTCTGTTTAGCTTAATTCAAAACCTGTTAGTCTATTGTGTGAACACGAGAGCTTTGTGGAATTCGACTCTAAAGTGCTACACACGATCTCTTATTTGAGAGAGTAGTCTTAGGTCTAATTTAACTCACATCAAATTTGGCGCCGTTGCCGAAGTTCTCTTTTTTTCACCATTAAATTAGGTGTAGAATTTAGACTAAACTTTTCTTTATTTCGCTACTCACGTGTTTTTATTTCTTTGGTTTCTTGTGTTTCAGAGACCTTAAGAATTTAATCACACTAAACAAATGGACGATTTCGACGAGAGTGTCGACCGACACCACCTGGGTGTCGATCGAGACCACACGGGAAACAGGCCAATGACGTTTGCTGATTACAACAGACCTGATCTCTTCTACTCCAATCGATCGGCGATCAGACCACCTACAGTTGCAAGAGATGATTTTAAGCTCAAACCATGGTATTACGATCTCGTTTCTAGGAACCGGTTCGAAGGTCAAATTGGAGAATTGCCTTTTGATCACATCGAGACATTCGAAGACATGGTTTCAAGCATCAAAGCAGAAGGTGTTCCAGCTGACTACTTACTCTGCAATCTCTTTCCACACTCTCTTGGAGAAAGAGGAATTAGCTGGCTTAGACAATCGAGACCAGGATTTCTAACTACTTGGCAGGAAGTAAATGACGCATTCTTAATCCATTTTTATGATGAATCACTGTCTGAAGAAGTGTGATTGCAGATTTCTTCATTTTCTCAAGGTTCCACAGAGTATTTTAAGGCAGCTTGGTTAAGATTCGGATCATATCAGAGGAATTGTCCGCATCATGGGTTCACTGAAATTCGTCTACTTGGAATCTTCTTCAAGGACATTGATTATCGTTACCAAGTCATACTCGATGCAGCAAGCAGTGGAAATTTCACCACAAGGATACCCAGCGAAGCAACAAATCTAATTGAGAATTCCGCTTCCAGCAATGACATCAGAGGCATTGATAACGAGAGAAGATAACAAGCCGCAAAAATTGACTCCAAGCAAGTGGAACAGTCCAAGATCCAATCTGTCAGCACTTCATGCCAAAACATCCAGCTTTTCACCCACAACGCCACCCCAACTCCACCATCTACCAGCAGGATCGAAGCTATGTTCGAGGCAATCTACAGTAAAATAAGTAACGCTCAAATTGAAATGGATGCCAGGATTTCAGCTTTGGATAGTAAGGTTAACAACATGATTACTGCGCTCAACCATACGACTTCACTAGAAGAAGACGTTTGTGCAGTTCAGTTGAGGAGTGGACTTCAGCAAAAGGTCTCAGAGACGCCCCTCATGACTGCTTGTCATGTTGTTTTGATGGAAAGCAAAGCTGATCTCGTGGACGTTACGGAGGGCGAAGCTGATTTTGTGGTTGCAAAGGCAGTGTCGACCGACACCAGTTCAGAAATTCGAGAAATCAAGCTGTGACAAAGCAAAATCGACCTGGTTCGACACTAATTTACAGGATGACTAGACACACAGTCTCAGTGTCGAGTGACACCACCTGGGTGTCGATCAACACTCCTCCAAAACAAAATCAGAAATCGACGTTTGATAGAGCAGAATCGAGCGTGCTCGACACCAGAGAGTCGATGCGAGACATTAGTGTCGAGCGACACTCACCTAGTGTCGATCGACACTGGACGCGGACTGCACCATTCAGACTTGAGTTTCCACCTGTTGCTGAACAAGTCTACACGCCTCAAGTTCCTTGTCCAATACCTCGACGGTCTAAGCAAGAGATCCATGAGGAATGCTATAAGGGTATCATGGATAAGATTATACCTAAGTTACCTTCGGTTGATATAGAGAAGTTATCATCACCGCTTCAAAGTGTTATTATACTGTATGAAGCTCCACAGAAGCAGAAGGACAACAAGAAGACAGTGATAACAGGTCAGTGCCATGATTCAGAGTAGGATTCCAGAGAAGCTACCCAATCCAGGAAGCTTTGTACTCGATTGCTACATATCTACAGGACGATTGGCTCGCTCTCTTTGTGATCGTGGCTCTTGCATAAACTTGATGCCCCATTCTGTTGCTGTACGACTTGGGATGACTGCTTACAGACCTACCAAGATCACTCTTCTCTTAGCTGATCGATCAAAGAGAATCCCTGAAGGTGTCTTAGAAGATGTTCCAGTGCAAATTGGAGAATGCTTGATTCCAACCGACTTCGTGGTTTTGGAATATGAAGAAGAACCTCCAGATCCTCTTATTCTAGGGAGATCTTTCCTAGCTACTGCTGGTGCTCAGATTGACGTGAAACAAGGCCGAATATCTCTACATGAGTGTGACATGGTTAGGACTTTTGATATGGACAAGCTGAGGAAGCCACCCACCATCGATGGTCAAGCGTTTTCTGTAGAGACCTCCATAGATATTACTGCTGGGTATGTCAAGGAGTTGAGTTCTATTGAGCAAGTAAATATGCAAGCTTCTAAGCTTGAGGATTGGAGTGGTGACCATCTCTTCAGGACTAGGCTCCAGGATGAGGTATAAAGCAGTGATAAGTTGCTGCAGATTGCTGAGCCGCGTTGCATAAACACTGCAGAAATCCGAGCTGTCGACATAGTGTCGATCGACACCACCAGGGTGGCAGTCGACACTAGACTCGACGAGATGGACCTTTGTCGACCACACCATCTCGCAGTCGACACAAAGTGTCGACACACTGCATTGGTGTCGATCGACACCATCTGTGTCGGTCGACACCATCTGTGTCGGTCGACACCCCACACGGGCAGAACCAGCGTTTCCCAATAAAGATGCTTTCCGCGCTGGAATCACTGCTATAAGTCCATGAACTGTTTTCACGTCAACAACTGTACCTCTTCCACTCCATCCTCCTCCTAACCAACTATGGTACTCATGTTCTCCACCTAAACCTCTTGATTTCATCAATAAGGCCTTAAATTTTTCAAAGACTGTTTCACGGTTAAGCAAGCCACGAGTTTCTCGTCAAGTGCTATTCGTTCTTTTGATGATTGTGCAGGAAAAAGGAGTATTCCACCTATACCTGAGTCTCACCCTGCTGATGTTCCTCACTTACTTGGTCGTCCTTACACACCAACTGCTTATACATCACCATGGATGATGAGACG